AAGTGATAAAATTACAAATAAGTAAATACTATACTTCAAAGAAAATATACTAGTACATATTTTACAAAGACCTATATTTAGAATAATAACTTACAAAATCAAGAAATTTTGCGTATAAAACAAAAGTGCTTATACGAAAAAGAATGTCTTTTTTTTTGAAAAAATAAAAAGCCCTTGGATTTTAAGGTTGTTTAAGTTATATTGTACTTAACAAATAATTTGAGCTAAGCTAAACTGAATTTATTATTAGTTTATTACTTAGGGTTTGTTCACATTTCACTTCAGCTTCATTTCATTTCAGTTTGGTTTAGTTCCAATTAGTTCAATTCAATTCAGCTCCTAATTTTCTTTTGTAAAATATTAATGTTAGCTTTATTCAGTTCAGTTCAATAAATATGAACAGACCCTTAAATAATATAGAATGATTACATTAACAATAACAATAATTGTTTTTTTTTTTTTAAATGACCTTAACTGAGAAAAGTTCAAAAGAATTAGGCGTAACTTCACAATTTTTAAGTAATGGCTATTTCACTTGAGCAATATGGCTACCTTATTGTAATAGAACTCCGCAAGTCCTTATTGGCTATCATCTTGTCCGTATATCATGTAATGGACACTACTACTTGGACTTGGACTTGGACTTGGACTTGGACTTGGACTAATGTCTCAAGGGTGAGTGACAAATGTAGGACTTTAGCTGGAAATGGGTGTTTGATGTGGGCTTCCTTAGTTATTAATTTTTCCACGCTGGCCCAAAAGTTAGCGGGTATCAATTTAGACATTTGTTGGGTTTCACTATCCAAATATTTGGGCCCATTTTTTTTTATATAAAATACCAATGTAGCTTATAGCCCATTCTCTTATTTGCTTGAGAAAGGTTTTTTTTTTATATAATTTTTTTTATATATATATAATTTTATTTTATTTTTTTTAATTTTTTGAGTAAAGAGAAATGTTTTTATTTGCTGAGGTATGAGTTTTCAAATTTTGCAAATTAATCTATTTGTCTATCATATAATTACACCCTACCTTCTTGAAATAAAAAGATTCTCTAGTAAGTATACTATCTATCGCCGTAAAGGGAGATGATGTAGACGAATAGTACTCTATAACGAAAATGTTATACCCCCCCCCCCCCCTTATTAATGGTAAACCATAATTAATTTAGGTTTATCCTAAGGAATCAATTTCAAAAATCATAACTATCTCTCATTGTTTGAATTTGTGTGTTTCCCGCCATACTAATGTAAGTATTTATTTGGGATACTGTAAAATAAGCTCTGGTAAAAGAGTGTAGGATGTGACTTTTTAAAAGTGTGAAAATCAGCTTAATAATCTGGCAAATAGATGTTGTGTACCCTCACACTAATACTGTGATTGGACTACTCTAACAAATATTATTGTGGGTGTGTTTGAGCACTAATACCTGGATTTGACTACTCTTGTATTATTCACATGACTGTCCCTCTTTTACGAGTATTTTTTTTTACCATCCTACTTTTATTTTCAAGATTCCGTAACTGTAGAATTTCAAAAAAAAAAAAAAAAAAAAACTTTAGTAGATGGATAGTGTATAATTATTGGGTACAAATATAATTCATCAATTGCCTGATCATTGTTGTGCTTTTTTGTTTGTTTGTCTACTTTAGGATGTTACTTTGTCATTTTAAATTTGTCTGGAACTACTGAATTCTCCATTATTCAAGATTCTAATTTGGGTTATTTCTAGGCAATTGTGATTAATGATTGATTTCCTATGTGTGGTTAGTGAAAGATCATAGCTTGTTATGGTTTATTTCTAACCTGTAAGTAGGCTCGATTTCGTGTAAGTTCTAACTTTCTAAGAAGCCGATTGTTTGGTTAAACAAAAGAAGTATCACATTCAATTCCATGATGTAAAACTTCCCGCTTTCTAAGCGAATTGTTGCATAGTAACTTATCATGTAGTCTTGCTCTGCCTTCCTCTCTACGAGTAGGTTCCATGAATGAGTATCAAACAATTATTACTAGTACTGTAAGTGTTGTAACTAATTGAGTAATTGTGTTAATGGACTACCTGTTAATTGAGAAAACAATACTTGAATGTAATTTTTGTCTATTTTAGAATATCACTACAGTCCTTGTCTTTCCTATATTTGAAAAAGTGATGCATGCTACTGGCCACTGGGCCATCAGAATATAATTATGTGCCATTTAAGTGTTGTGTTTTTTTAGTTTGCTAAGGACTGATATCATTATATGGAGTATGGATTATGGAGTGATAGTCGATGAGATATTAGTTTTAAAATATTGTTCACGGATGAATTTTAGACAGTAGAGTCAATATGACTTTATTGTATACGTAGGACTCGAGAGTTACAGCTTGGCGACTACATTATGAATTTAACATAATAAAATTAACAGTAAATTTTTTTTTTTTATGGGTGTTTGAAGAGCCACAAGGACGAATGATGATCTTAGGATCCCGTGGAATCGAGAAAGAATTTTTAACCGCTTGAGTTATCTTTTACTCTCACGTAAACAAGTTTGAATCTAGTCCCTCCATTTTATATGATTGAGGACAATTCGGGTAATTGGAATAAATCAACCAAGGTTCCTGCTTCTAACATGGAATTGAATTATATAATCACAAAGAATTTCTCTTTGATATCATGCATATGCGACGCCGTCAAGACTAAGGTCGACTATTCAAAATTCCGCCGATAAATTGGACTGTCCACCCTATAAATGATCTGCATGAATGAATTAAATCCCATGCTACACATATCTCCAAACACTCCCAAATCTTTGACAACTTTGGATTTATATGTACAAATAATAAAATGGACCCTATAAACATTATATTGGTCCCATTTATTAACCTTTGATTATTACTATACGAAAAGGATGTCCTATGCGTGATAGATCAAGAGTCAAGCCATTGATTCATAACAATTTAGTGTTTCACTAGAAGATAACCAGTTATAATGTTCTGAATTTTCACTTATCTTTATTTATCTACGAGTAGTATATTTAAGAAGTATGTGTGTATATTGATGGCAATGTGAACCATGTATTATATTGCTCTTACAAAGTATTGTCATTTTCTTGTTATTTAATTAATTGGAATTGGCACATTAAAATCTAAACTTTAAAACCCTCTAAATTCATATATCTCATAATCAATTTGTTTGACTTATTAGAGTTAGTTTGACTTTTTACCAAAAAAAGTTTTACACTAGATTGTATTTATATTAATGCATGAGAATACGAGATACTTCTAAAATTGTTATATACACAGTAAAAGATAAACAACACTTTTTAAAATACGGTACTAAGTTAATGTAATACAAATTTTAACAATATATGGATGAGATTGACTGATTTGAATGTAAAATTAATTAACAACACTTTCCTTTATAAAGGCTCACATATAATTAGGTGCTTCATACAATGTCTCTCTCACAAGAATTATAAGAAAGAGGTAGAGAAGAGGCCAAGGATAACACATTAGTTGGAGATTGTGATATAGGTGAAAGAACTAGAATTCGTATTCCGTATTATTGGATGTATATTTTTAAGGAAATTTTCATTTTTACCACCTTCAAATAATGACTTTGTCGAATTTACCACCTCAAAAAAAAAAACATTTACTTTACCACCTCATAAAAAAAATTAAACATCAGTTTTACCACCTCATCTGAGCTCAGGTGACGGAAAACGCTTGTGGGGCCCAGCATAACGGCTAGTTTTTGATTTTTTCCCAAATTTCTCTCGATTTCCCTTTTATTTAAACCTAGTTCTTCATTTGTACACCAAATTCTTGCAGATTGGAGATTAATTTTTGCGATTTTCTTCACAAATCAGTATTTTTGGGCAACCTTAACAATCCCAAACCCTCTAATTATCAAACAATCAATTGAACTCCTCGACAACAAGCATCAAAAAGGTAAGCCATTGTCGTTAATTCTCTAGCAATTTTCGTGATTTTTGTTGTAATTTTTTGGCAATTCGTTGCGTGATTATGTTGCATTTGCTAAGAGTAATTGAAATTGGGCGTTTTGTGAGGTCAATTAAACCCCAATTTCAATTAAAATACTTAGGGTTCATGTAAGATTAAATTGGATTAGGGGTTTTTGTTATGTGAATTGGCTACTGAAATTAGGGTTATATTATGGTGATTGTGTTCAAATACAATTAATTTCATTCTTGTTCTTACTGAATTTCAGAAGGGAATGTCTTCAGTTAGCATGTCACCCTCAAAGGAGAAAAAATGCCAATGTGGATTTCCAATGTCTAGGCTGACTGCTTGGACTAGGGAGAACCCAGGACACAAGTTTAGGACCTGCAAATTCTATGATCCTGTGACTGAGTCAAGGGGGTGTAAAGCTTTTGAGTGGGTGGATCAACCAGATGGAACACCTTGGCAAACAGAGGTGATTAACAACTTGCTGCTGGACAAGAAACTAATGAAGGGAGAGTTGAATGACATGAAGAGGGAAGTTGATGATGTTAGTGGACAAAGGAGGTGCTTGCTCAATGAGATTGACAGCTTGAAGATGAAATGCAAAGCTCTTAACTCAGACAGGAAGAAGATGATCAAGGAAGTGCATGGCAGCAATGCAACAACAAAGAAAATGCTCACAGTACATGCTATTGTTGTGTTTTGTTGTTTTGGTTTGGTACTGGCTATGTATTTTAGATCTTAGGTTCATTTAGGAATGCTTAGAAACAAAAAAAATCCCCAACTTATGTTGTGTTTTGTTGAATTATTATGTGTGGATGTTGGGATGACATTTCTTGTACTACTTTTAACAAAATCAATGAGAAATGGAACTTTTTGGTAGAAACATATCACATTTCGTATTAGTACTTGCAACACAATGTTTTTAATTGTTTTACATTGGCTGAGACAAAAGTTAAGGCACCTTTGTGCAAAATCATTGTTCAACTATCATTGTTCAACTACCAAATAAACTTGGCTGTCTATTACAAAATACTAATGAGTAGACCTAGGGTCACAGTTGATTGAGATCCTTGTCCTTCTTGCTTGTCATTACATGAAGCTTGGACCTGGTCTGTATTTTGACTTTGGGAGGAGTAGTTGTTGGCACTCTTGTGGGCTGACTCAGGCTCCTGTTGCTCCTGGTAACAGGCTGAGTTGGCAAAGGCTCTGTTCTTGTTGCAGGCTGGCTTGACACAGCAGTTGCAGGTGCAGCATTACTTGACCCAGCCTGTGCTGTTGTTGGAGGCTGATATTGTGGCAACTTCAGTGCAACCTGCAATCACAGTATGACAAGACTCAGAAACAAAGCCACTAAATACACTCAAGTCACAAAATACACAAAATACTTGTCTTGCTGCTTTCTCTTCACTTTTCTTTCTTTGTTCCTTAAGCCAAGGAGTCTGCATCTGTGGCCTCCCACCCTTTGGATTTGTTGCAGGTGGGTTAGGCTGTTCTGGTGCTGCTTCAGCCTTGCATATTTTGGCAAAGTGGCCAAACCCACCACAGTTCTTGCATTGTTTCTTCACCTTTGGCTTCTTGCCCTCAGGTGCTGCAGAAGTGCCCTCCCCTGGTTCAAGCTTTCTCTTTTTTGCCTTATGTCTTCCTGGTTGCACTTTCAGCATAGGTGGCAAAGGCTGTCTGAGCTTGACCTTTTCCCAATTCTTAGGGCCAGGCATTGGCTGTATTGGGTTCTCATATGCAGCCAAGTATGTCACCCTATAGTAATGTGGGTGCACATACAACTCAGGATCATCCCTTTTGTCCATTATGCAAGCAAATGCATGGACACAAGGTATTCCTGTCAACTCCCATCTATAACAAGTGCATTTTCTCTCTTGCAGATTCACAATGCACTGATCATCCTTGTATTTCACCTCATAAATTTCATCCCTTGAAGCTGTAACCTCACATGTCATGGCATACTTCTCCAACCCATCAAAGACTTTGTTGACAAATGGGGTTAGTAAACCTTCCCAAGACTTTGCTGCCTCCCATTTGTCATTACTCCTCTTCATCATATATCTTCTAAGCCATTCCATTTGAGTTAGAATAGGCTTGTCTCTGGCATCTCTAATCACTGCATTAAATGTCTCACACATGTTGTTTAACAACATGTTAGACTTGCAGTTTGTAGAGAAAGCATGCCTTGACCAATGCTGGGGGTCAATGTTTGACAGCCACTGGTATGCTTCTTCATCCAAAAAATTGATACTTTCCATAGCAACTTCAAACTCAAACTGATACAACCACACACATGACAACCATTCAACACAACATAGACACATGACATACAGTTTTCACAAAATAGAAAGACATGCAAATATGTGCAAAACTAAATGTTCCTAGCATACATTATAGTTCACCATAAAACTGACATAAAAGAACCTAAATAGAAGCTTACCAGAGTGCTTGCCCTAGCAGCAGCCCAGAACAATTCCTTGAAAGTTGCACCATGAAATTTCAGTTTGAAATTTGACCAAATATGCCTCACACAAAATCTGAGCTCAGCTTGGGGGCCACATCTGCAAATGCTTCTATGAGACCCTACACACAAGGCAAAACTAACAAGTTAGTGTACAGAAAATTCAAATAAAGCAAAGTAATTTAAACACAAACACAACCCACTTACTTTCTGTCTGTCAGACATAAAAGTCAAGCCATCTCCTTGGTCATACACACAAAGTGCCTTGAGCAAGCTCTCCAGAAACCAGCACCAGCTGTCCTTGTTCTCAATCTCTGCAGTTGCCCAAGCAATTGGGAAGATGGCATTATTGCCATCTTTTCCAACTGCAACCAAGATCTGCCCAGGGTATGCCCCTTTTAGATGGCACCCATCCACCCCAATTACTGGTCTGCAACCAGAAATGAATCCATCCCTAAGTGCAGCTAAGCACACAAACATCCTCATAAAAATTGGTCTTTCAATTTGAACTCACTCCCTGGGTTCCATTTCAGCAGTGCCTTCCCATAGTCCCAAACCTTTGAGTATTGCTCTGATGAAGAGCCATATATTATAAGCTTTGCCCTGCTTCTAGCCAACCAAGCCTTGGAGTATGTAATTTTGATCCCCAAGTCATTCAAGGCCCTGTCCTGAATCTGTTTAATCTTCCATCTGGGGTTGCCCCTGAACTCCTCCAAGTACCTGTCAGCAAGGAACTCTGCTATCACCTTGTTGTTCATTTTACTCCTAACACACCTATGCTTCAGCCTTAGTGTCTTAATTTGCCAAGCCTCTGATTTCACAAGCCTTGTTGCATAAAACTTGAACCTACACCTAACACCCTTACTACATGTACACTTCACTATCCTACAATTGTTCTTGTTATACACACACTTGCATTTCCTTTTGCAATATGTTGTTAGCCTCTTTGAATCATTGTGAAGAAGGTAATACTCATACCTATTTTCAATTGCATGTTGTCTCAAAGCTTTTCTCATTGTTTGCACATCACTGAACCTTTGACCAACTACAAATTTGATAGCCCTTTCAAAGTCTGTCTCAGGGTTAAACCAAGTAACACTACCCTGATCATCATCTGAATCACCTTCCACACTCTTTAGCTCATCAGAATCACAAGCTGCCTCCTCTTCAACCCTCACTTCAATTTTCTGTAGATTTCTTTCTATGTCAAACCCTGTGTCCTCATCATCACTTTGATCCCCTCCTTCAGTAACTCCCCTCAAACTGCCTTTCACCTCACTGTTAATATGGTCTAAATTTTTCTTCAACCACTGTTCATCATCATCAGAGTATAAGTCCTCCTCTCCCTCATCAACTTCTAACTCAAAATCACTCAACTCAGAATCAGAAGACTATGTATCACCATCCTCACCACTAAACACATCACTGTCATCCCTTAAGCTCCTCACTCTTTCTTTTATTTTTCTCACTAAATTAGCAAAATTTCCAGTCTCATCCCCAACCTTAGCCTTACCCTTATCTGCAGCAGTGAGTTTACCCTTCCCTTTATGTGTATTAGCATTCACTTTCTCTGCCCTAGGAAGCCTCTCCTCAGCCTCTCTGTCATGTATAACAATGCCTTTTAACCTAGGGCTTCTCCTAAATGGCTCCTCTTCAGTGGGCTTACTAAGTTCTGGGCTGGGTTTATATACTTTAGGCCCACCAAACCTCTTTTTCAGTTCCTTCCTTTGTGCAGGGGTTAGCTCATTCCCAGCTATACATTTGAAGGGTGTTTTGTTAGTCCCTTCAATTGGCTCATGACTGGTAACATACATCTCACATGCCCCCTCTTTGTTCACAGACTCTAGGAAACCATTCATCTCACCATCAACAAGCTCCCTTTTACCATTCACCCAAGACTTGCCCTTTTGTTTATACCAGCAACTAAACCCCCTAGGAACCTTCACATTCACATACACAAACCCATGTATAGCTGCTTGTCTCAAAAAGTGTACATCTATCTTATTTTTTTCCACTTTTCTCATCCAATAAACCCACCCACCATCCCAAGTTAACACCCTCCTATTTTTACCAGCTAAAGAAGGTATAAAGGCACCCCCTACTGTAATTTTTAAGTCCACTGTGTCCATTCTGTAACAACACCAACAAAAGCACACACAACAATAACCAATTTCAGTAATTACAGTAAACAACAACAACCAATTCACCAATTACAGCAAGTAAAAGCAATTCACATTGACTATGCACTAAATTAACAGTATACAAGTAAATCTAATTAACTAATTATTTAACAAATGCACACTCTAATTCAGTCAAAGATTCGCATAATTAGGGTTTATAATACTTTAATTCACAGATTCCCAAAAAAAGTATACTTTACCCCAATTGACAACCATAAATCCAACGAAATGTACTAATAAAGGGTTTAAAGTACCTCTTGTAGTCAGGAATCTCGATTTCTGTCAGCAAATTACCAAGCTTTTGGTCCCCTCACCCTGTGGAAGATGACAAGAGAAGCTGATGTGTTGCAATTTTGTGGTTCCAGCTCGATTTCAACCACCCAAATTGATCTAGGGTTTCAGTTTTTACAGAGAGAAAGAGAAAAATCAAAGGAGAGAGAAGCAGTTACAGTGAGAATCAAGAAAAATCAAAGGAGAGAGAGACGAAAATTGATGAGGAAGTGAGAAATTTGGTGAGACATTGATTATGGAAGGTGGAAGGTGAGAAAAGGAGGAGACAGAGGGAAATCGATTTTAAAAGAATTAAATTGGAGGGAAGTGACAGTTAATTGGGCCCCACAAGCGTTTTCCGTCACCTAAGCTCAGATGAGGTGGTAAAACTGATGTTTAATTTTTTTATGAGGTGGTAAAGTAAATGTTTTTTTTTTGGAGGTGGTAAATTCGACAAAGTCATTATTTGAAGGTGGTAAAAATGAAAATACCCTATTTTTAATACTTTGAAATATTTTAAAAAGTATGATGTTCGATACAACCTATGATAGCGTTTCAAATATGCACGTATGCTCTATGCACAAAATCATACTACTTCTGTTACATATTATTTGCAACAATTAAACATTTTTTCTCTCTACTTTATGTCAAATCGTTGCAAATAATATGTAACGGAGATAATATTATAAGTAGTAATCATTTTCTAGTTTGAAATCTTTCAAGTACCTCCGTTCATGTCTCAAATTTTTGTAAGAAAAACTTGAATTGAACAATGAAAGTGAAGAGAGGGATGAGTATGGGTATCTCAAAGTCTCAAAGATAGATTCTTACGCCTAAGATATGATATGATATGATATGGTGCAGTTGATTATAGAATCCTGATCACGTCAAGGCCGTATGATGACGTTGTCTCATCAATCAACAATCATTCATTTTATATCTTAATGTTGAATTTTATGGATGGCAGTCAACGCAACCTCTAACACGTGTCTTTGTGGGCCAGGGCCTTGTATTAGCTGGACTGATGACATGTCAAGTCCATTTTATATTTATTTAATTTTGTTGGGGTTTGGTGAGACGTTGAGCAGCGCATTCATCGCAAGTAGCGACTTGAGTCAATGGTTAGGTGGCAGTCAAGTTTAAACCAAATGCTACTGTACTATACAGACCACTACTAGTCCTAGTACTATATTTAGTCAACGCTTTTTCTATTTTTATTTATTTTTAGTAAACCTTGTTTGAATTCTTAATGTGAAATCAAACTCTTTGCTGTAGATTCTCACTTTTTCTCTATCTATCTTAAGACAAATTTAATTAACTTTTTAAGTAGGGTTTTGTGTTTTTTTTTTCCAGCTTATTATGACTTTAGTATTTCGAGGTACTATGTGGTATATTTTCTTCTATGTTGCACATAAACAAAATTAGGAAAAGTGGCTTTTTAATAAAATGATTGGTCAAAACTCAAAAGAAGTGATTAATTTATGAGCAGCCCTATTACTGTAATTTTAGAGACCTTGAGAGTATGTAGTACAACTGTACAACGGCGTAGTCTATAGTCTATACATGTGCTTGTTGTTCACACATAATATTGATTGTAATGTTGTACCCCGTACTATGTATAATGTATTTAAACTAATTAAAAAGCTCTATTTTTTAGATTTATTTTCAGTTAAGTTCATTTTATTTACAATATTATTTTACTTCAAGTTAGTTCAATTTAACTCAAAAAAACATGGTTTAAGAAGAGAAGTATATTCACCTGAGTATGCAACATTATAGAACAATGCACATTCAAAAATTCTACTTACAATAGTTACAACACGTATTAATGAAAACGAAAATTTTGACTTTCAATTTAATTTAATTTTTTGCAGCAAAGTCTTCTTTGATGTTAATTGAAAGAAAGAAGAATTTAACCATTATTTTCAAAATTGCTGGGTACTCCTTATTAATTAGAAGTTGCAAAACTAAGATCAATGTGAAGAGAGACCTAATAAATATTACTTGTATTCTAATTCAAAGTTATTTTCAAAATAGAGTACTCCCTAACAAGATGAGTTGGCCTATTCATTTGGAAATTATAAGTCTAGGTCTTGTTTTCAATTGGAAATTTTTTAAATTTTGGTCTATTAATTGTTTGAAATGGGGAGATGAGGTCCTCGATAAAGATTTTCTTCATTGATTGATGTTAAGTACAGTCAACATATTACAATGGTTGTAGTTTAGTTATACATTTATGAGGATACAAAGTGGTTGCAATTGATATTTGAGATTAAACATTGATCATTGAATTTGACCGATTGTTGTATTAGGGTCTGTTCTCTTACGTTGAAATTCAATTCAGTTCAGTTCAGTTCAGTTCAGTTCAGCTCATCTCAGTTCAGTTTAGTTTAGTTCAGTTCAGTTCAGCTCCTCTCCTAATTTCCTTCTCTTATAAAATATTCATTTCAGCTCAGCTCAGTTCAGTTCAATTCAGTTCAGCTGAGTTCACTCAATGAGAACAGACCCTTAGTAGTTAAATTTATAAATGCAGCATAATTTTATATTGAGTTACGAAGTACTAAAATTCTATAAAGTAGTATTATACTTTGTGTACTGTAATATTTTCAAAGTATTGTGTCAATAATTAGCACTTAAAATGAAGAAGTGATGTGGTAACAAAAAAAAAAACCATATTATTAATAAGTATAGCTTGATTTACAATATTATTATATGATGAAGTTATGTATTATGAAGTTAATTAATTAAACCATAAAATTATATGATTAATCGAGGAGACCTGCAAACTCAAATCATTTGGGTAAGCTAACATGTTCAAGGATCATTGTAATACTTTTTTAGTGTATTTATTACCCTTATGTTTGCTTGATCTAATGTCAAATGTTATAAAATTAACAATTTACTGTCGATAAGAGAAATTAGGGTCTGTTCTGATTTACCGAATTAAGCTGAATTGAACTAAATATTTTATAAGTGAAGAAAATTAAGAACTGAATTGAAAATACGTTGAATAGGACAGACCCTTAGTGCTTTAAATTACAATCAACTTACAAAAATCACTCCCATGTTACTTACTACAATACAATCCTTTGAATACATTTATTAATCCATCATTATCAATTGACTAATTACATCTTAACTTTCTTAAACATACAAAGTCACTTCTTGTATCTTAGCATTCACATGCAAAGTCATTGCACTAAACACCACTTAAATAAATTTATTATAAGATTAACCAATTTCATTTAAATATAAATCCCTTTCATAAACCATGATCCATAAAAATGAGACCACCAAACTAACCTTATTATTATTATTTTTAAAAATCTCATCTTATATTCTATGAATTCAATTCAACCATAAGTTGAAAAAAATGAATAAATACAAAACAAGAATTACTTGTATTAGAGCAAAAACCTCTGACTATAAACTCTGCCAAATTAGTACTGAATTTTAAACAAATTCCACCTTTGTTTTCTTCCTCTTGTCTCATTATATTTCCCCCTTTCTCTCTCCTCATTTCTCCCCCTTCTTATTTTGAATCCCCTCTTCACTCCCCCAAACCAAACCTCCCTCCATTTCTCCATTTTCTCCCAAAAAAAAAAAAAGAGAAAAAGAAAACCCATCATTTTAATTTAAAGCTTCTGTAATTCCTCATCAATGGCGGTAACATTGAGCAGAGGAAGAAGCGAGCAACTTCATCTCCAGAAAATCAAAGAAAAACAAGAAGATTACATAAATGATCAACAAAATCAGCTGAAAAAAGCAAGTGTAGTTCCAGTAGTTTATTATCTTTCCAGAAATGGTCAGCTTGAACATCCTCATTTCATGGAGGTTCCTCTCTCTTCTTCTCATGGTCTTTTTCTCAGTGACGTCATTCATCGCCTTTATCTTCTTCGTGGTAAATCCATGCCTTCTCGCTACTCCTGGTCCTCCAAACGGTAATTAATTATTTAATTAATCGTACTTTAATTAATAACAATTAATTTGTTGATTAATTAAAATTTAATGTTGATATTTTGATTGATTTTTTAGGAGCTACAAAAGTGGATATGTATGGCATGATTTGGCGGAGAATGATTTCATACATCCAGTTCACGGAGGAGAGTATGTTCTCAAAGGTTCCGAGATTCTAGTCGAAAATACAATTTCTTCGCCGACTGCATCCAAATCATCTGAAACGACGTCGTCATCTTCAAGCGCGAAGAATACTCCGGCAGCCGGAGATTCTGATTTTCCGGCGGTGAGGAATCGCCGGCGGAATCAGTCTTGGGGAGCGATTGACTTGCACGAGTACAAAGTGTATAAGACTGAGTCAACCCACGAGTTCGCCGGAAAAGCAGCGGCTGACGCGTCAACTCAGACTGACGAGAAACGACGTCGTCGGAAGGCGGTCGTTATAAAGGAAGAACCCGAGGAAGAAAAAGCCGAGGAAATACAACAGAGTACGGAGTTGAGTAGGGATGAGATTTCACCACCACCGTCGGATTCAAGTCCGGAGACATTAGAGTTGTTGATGAAAGCTGACGGTAGATTATTACTAGGTTCATCATCGTCGTCATCAGCTTCATTACAAGCTGCTAATCAAGGTGATCATAGTAATAATCAGACGATTGGGAGTTGTCCAAGTGGCAGAATGAAAGCGTCTACTGTTTTGATGAGCTTGATTTCATGTGGATCGATATCGTTTAAAGACTGCGGGGCGGTCGCGGTGAAAGACAACGGGTTTTCATTGGTGTCTCATTATAAGACGAGGGTACCACGTGGCACATTAGTCGAGGACGGGGGTAATGAGATGATGATGGTGGAGATGGAGAATAATGTGAGTAGTAAGTTTGCGAAAATGGCGTTGGAAGATAAAGAGTATTTTAGCGGGAGTTTAATCGAGACTACGAGTAAGAAACAAGAGCTTCCTACTATGCTTAAACGATCTTCTTCTTACAATGCTGATAGGTAAACATTCTTAATTTAATTCTGTTATTTGATGGGTGTTTTAATTTTGTTACAGTAGTAAGTTTGGGTATGAAGTGTACGTTTGGTTTATCTACTGTGTGAATGTTCAGTGGTCTAATTTAGAGTAAGTTCATATGACGTTTGAATTTTACCCTTGTTACGATTCTTTTTTTGTAGAGAATAAGCCATACGTACATTTTTTTTTTTAATTATTGGGCTGATTTCTGTCTTCTGATCTTGTTGCAGCTAGAGTTTCGGTAAATTTATGATAGACTGATATTATTATTACCCATTCTCTCTCTTTTATGCATTGTAGATTTGTACTCCAGTATAATGAGAGTATTTTTGAACAATTCTTCTTGCTTAGGTGCTTATAACTTGTATGATTAGAATAAGTTTTAGATTGTTTAGTACTTTAGTTGAATGACAATTACAATATGATAATATGATACCCGCAGTAATAGTTTTACTTTTGATAATGATAACTTTAACTACGTTACTGTATGATTACTCGTAATAATTTTGTTCACCATCTTTTCACTCTGAAAAGACAAATAATAACCATAATAATATGTTTAAGATAAAGTTGTGTACGACTCATAATTTCACGCAATAGATTTTTCGAATGTGTTAGACAGTAACAAATCGTGGTTTTGTGATAAATTGCAAGCAAGTAGAGTTACACAAGATGATAAGCGTAAAATTTTAAAAAATGTGATGGTGAAGACAAATATTTTAGAGTGAGTTGTATAAGTTACTTGCAAGTAAAGGCCCCTACCCCTTCTACTTCAAAGGCTATGATATAGCGTTAACCTGAGGCCAGTAATTAGGTAGTACCCGTACTATCTTTTTTGCAAGATTCCTGCTGATCTAGATCATATTCATTATTCAAGGACTGTAGTATTTATTCAAATGTCATTATTCATTTTTTTATGATATCATCTTTCTGTGTTCTGATCCCTGCTTTTATTTTACTCGTAGTATATGTTTTTTCAGACATATCATTGATTTCTTTACTCATACTACATTTTCCATCATTCAATTTTGCATTATCTTATGTATGTTCCGTGTTATTAGCCTCATTTCGCTCCTCCCTAAATGATTGTTTAGGATAGCAGAGTTAATAAAACTCTTGCCGTTTTCCTAGTGGCCGAGGTTCGAACCCTGAACCTCACCTTGGGTTAGACATGTTACACTTGCACACACTTAGCTTGCATTCATTACGGAGTACTAACCAAAAAAAAAAAAAACAAAGATTTTTATGGATCTATTGTAATAAGAACTACAGCAGCATGTGCCAGCATTGGAGCATATGCATGCGTTCTCAGACCAAAAAAAAAACAATGTTACATTGCAGTTATATAATTGTATTGGACCACAACAATATTCAATATAGATTATATATTATGAAAGTACCAGTTGTTGGAAAATGAGGTTTGTAATTGTCATCAATTGACTGATTGTCAAAGGTGGTAAAATTGTGAAAGCGAAGGTGAAGATTTAGTTCAGAAATCCAGATTATTAGCATTTAGGTTAGAGTAGAGTAACTAGGAACAAATCAAGGGGTCATGTTGGCCGCTTGTCACATGCTATGTTAGCCGACATCTCTTTCGAGTGTGAACTCTTATACGTCCTGTTTCTTTCGCCTTTGTGCATTCACATGGAAAATAGGAGTCTTGATCTTTCTACATATTTCACTATGATATGTGTGATTAAAATCGTGCTTGTGCATGCGATTATAATATACGAAGTATATAATAACTCGTCTTGAACACCCAAAACGCTACATGTGTTGAGGTTTGATTGTTTTCTTAATTCTTTTGGTATGATCAAAACACTATAATTGATTGTAACAATTGGATTTGTTTTATTCTATAGGAGTGTGCATATGAAGTTGGAGGAAAAAGAAGTGGAAGGAGTTAGAGCAAAATGCATACCGAGGAAACCAAAAACTCAAACAAGTACTAGTAAGAAAGAATGTCACACGGATTCTACTCGTGCTACCATCAACAATACTTGTCAAGAGCGAAATTAATGTTAAGCGCCTTGGTCACTACTGATTCCATAATGTGACTTATTAGGATTTCTTATATCAGTTATATGTAATGTGATTTCCTCTTGTCTAACCTACAAGACTATTATATTTATTAGTGGTAAATTATATCATTAGGAAGAATGATGGAAATTAACGAGTTAGAAGGTTGAAAAATCAAGGGGACAAATGTTCATACGCCGTGACTAGTACGGTGGATAACGTACATTAACATTGTAGGAATTTCTGTAGTAGACTAGTAGTAGCAACTGAAGTGGTAATTTTGGGAATTCGGGAAAGCTTTTGCATTTTAGAAATGTGCATGAAAAAAAAAAAACCATGAAAGCTCCTTTTTCATGTGAATTGACTTTTATTTATTGAATTTGGAGCTCTAATACAAGTACTCGTATTAAAAATGAAAATAAAAAGCTTGTCTTTTTAGACTTTGAGTTTTGGGCCTTTGATTCTTATATTTCCCTCTTTTGGGCTGTTGGTTATGGGTAGTGGAAAATTTTAAGCAAAATTATGCATTGAGTTTAGTGTTTTTAGTACAATTATGAATTAAATTAATAATTTAGCTGTAATAGAATATGATTATTATACTGATTAGAAGAAAGTTGTTTTATTAACTTCTGAGTTTGGAGAAAATTGATGTGCCTGATGAACCGGAGAGAAACAAGGAAAAGCAGGAACACTTCTAAGATTGATGTACTCCACTAGATTTAAATCATTTAATGGGTTAGTAGTTTATTAGAGCTTTTTATACTCCATAAGCTACAATATAAAACTAGTCATAGATAGACGGATAGTAGTACATGCAATGCATTAACACAAGTTATTTGTTCTCAATAAGCTTTGATAAAAGTCTTGATGTAGCTAATGCAGCTATTATTGCTATTCGGACTTATTATTTTCTCAGTTGCGGGTTGTTATGATTAATCAACTTTAAACATAAAAAGTCAAATGAAATACGTAGTATTGAGGTATTATGTATCTAACTTTTTCGCAAAATAAGAGAACACATAACTAATGAAAAATCACAATATGTTGATTTGTCCGTGTGACATGTAATAACAACGTAATAATAGATTTTGAAACTAACTGACATAGTAAATACATACAAAGTAGGATTATTAATCGAATAAAAACAAAGGTACTAGGTAGACTATTCATTAAGAAATGTTGGTTTATATTTTCAGAGGTTTATTCCTTAACACAATAAGCCTTAGGCGTCGTATGGGTAATCCTAGGTTGGTGTTGGTGAAAATCTTCTTTTATCATTCATCAGGATGCACTTGTGCTAACAATGGGCTGATGCTAAATTTGCTAATAATGTTACTTATTAGCACTTCAAATATGCACTTGTGCTAACAATGTGCTAACCAACATTTTGGTTGAGTCCTAACAGGCTTTGCCCTATCAATTCCGATCTGTTTTCAAAGTTACTCCGTAATGTCATACTCCCTCCGTATTTAATTTGCATTTTTTTTTTACAATATTCATTTAATCTATTTTGACTAATGTTTGTGATTTATATACTACCTCCGTTACATATTATTTGCAACGATTAGACATTTTTCCTCTCTACTTTATGTCAAATCGTTGCAAATAATATGTAACGGAGGAAGTATAAAAAATAATACTCCCCCCGTCCCCAAATTACATTCCTATATCTAGCTTTTGTTCCTCACATAATAGAGGAAAACAGAAATATAATTTAGGGACGGAGGGAGTATAGCTTTGTGAGTACTTGTTGGAATCATCTCAATAAATAGATTATTAATTTTAAATTGTCATAATTTATACTTATTGATAACTTAAAATATTATTGATAAAAAAAATTGATATCGTCATAGGTACCAAAAACATAAAGCAAGTAATAAAATACGGATGAAATACTCTTTAAACCCAAACTCTTGAATGTATAAATCCAAACATCCAACCTTACTTTTTTAGGTGGCTAATTAGCAAAGGAAGAGACAACTTAAAACAAAGACTAGCATAATGAATGGGAGGTGAACACACAACAATACATATTTAGGTCGTCAGTTAGCTAAGGAAGCAGAAAATATCAAACAAAAGCTAACATAGTCACTAGAGGGTAAAATTAACTTGGTATAATAGGCTATTACACTAAGACACATTTTTCCCATTTAGGCTATGAATTGAATGAAAGGAATCTGGCTGTGCAAACTTCCCTTGAATTGAAGAAGTGTAATTTTCATTCATTTGATCATCAAAATCATCTGCAAGTAGTCGCTTCTTTCCGCTTTTGAGTATTATGCTAAGCGTTGTAGGAAGAAAGGTTACAAAGAGGTTGATGACCATAACAAAATATATAGCCTTAGCCCTCAATTCTAATCTCATAGCCATGAGATTATAATATCTGTAACACAAGAAACTCTAGTCAGTCTTTTAATCGTATGATATGTATTAGTTTGCATACATGTTGACTTATAGTAACATATGATAATTAGAGGAAACGTGTGATCGTGATGACATAGATTTGTACATTTAAAAAGGAACGGATCATTGTTTAGCATATTGATTTATGCAAATGGGTTTTTAAAATTTTAATACGATGTGTAATTACACGTGTGCTATACTAGTTATATTGTTATAATTGAAATATTTAAGAAAGGAGAAAAACAAACTTGGTAAATTGCTAATGCAATGTTGGTGAAGACGAATGTCATTCTCTATGAAATTGGTTTCTTTTTTTTTTCCTTCTTTCTTTCTAACCAATACTCTTCGGCCAAAGTGACCATTGAAACTGGAAATTTAACAGAATTTGAACTTTCGAGGAAGCCTGTGGTTTCAAGAATTGGTTTGTGTTTTGGTTAATGGAATAAAGAGTAATGAGAATGGTTGTGTTGGATCAAGACCTATTAATAGGAGTTTGATATTACACATTAAGAAAAAATAATTATTGAGGTTTGTTGGATGAATCACTAGAGATATGATATGTTTCCATGTATAAGTTAACCTATTATGCTGAGGAAATTAAGATAGGATTGACAGGAAGGTCTGACACTGTTAATTGTACATGCCACGCATGCAAGAAATATTATTGGTTCACTACGATTGGATTTACAGGTAAGGACTGGCAATGCTGGACATACCTACAAGGTCTGTTGGATGAATCACTAGAGATATGATATGTTTCCATGTATAAGTTAATCTATGATGTTAAGGAAATTAAGATAGGATCAATTGACAAGAAGGTCTGACACTGTTAATTGTACATGCCACGCATGCAAGAATTATTATTGGTTCACTAAGATAGGATTTACAGGCAAGCACTGGCAATGCTGGATGTAGAGCTGTCAATTCGGGCAAACAGGTCGGGTTTGGGTCAGGTAAGAGTGGGTCGGGTCAACTCGGATTAATTCCATAACCTATGTGGGTCGGGTTTGGATTGAGTCATGCTTGAGTCGGGTCACGTCATCGAGTCATACTTCTTATCGGGTTTGGGTCGGGTTAATAACAGGTCGGGTTACATTCGGGTCGGGTGAATAATAGCTCGGGTTTAATTCAAGTTTTCACAGGTTAAAACGAATTAGGGTAATTCTTGGGTTCGAGTCAGGTTCGGTTCAAGTCAATAATTTGCGGGTTAGAATCAGGTCGGGTCATTCTCGGGTTTGAGTCGGGTTCGGTTCAAGACAATGATTTGCGGATTATAATCAGGTCGGATCATTCTTGGGTTCAAGTTTGGTTCGGTTCAAGTCAATAATTTGCGGGTTATAATCAGGTTGGGTCATTTCCAAGTCGGGTCATTCTGTGATTCAAGTCGGGTTATGTACAAGTCAATAATTTGCAGGTTACAATCAGATCAGGTCATTTCTAAATCAGGTCATATTCGAGTTCAACTAATTATAAATAGATAATTATCATTTTTATCAAGCTAATTATTTCCTTTGAGTATAATATATATGGCAAAATACTAGGGAACTATAGTCTATAATTTATCTCCTTTGACCATACAACATATATATACTATATTTAACTCTTAAATTTGAGGATGATGCTTCTTTCTTTTGTTGGCCTGGACCGACTTAGTCTCCCTAAACAAAATGCTTAGATCAACAATAATAAGGTGGTCTAAATTGCATTTAAAGTTATTTGAAATCGGTTCTGCAATAATTTAGGTTGGGTCAATAACAAGTCGTGTTAATTTCGAGTCGAGTAAGTAACAGATCAAGTTGAATTTTTGGGTCGGGTAAATAATAGGTCTGGTAAAATTCGGTACGTGCCAATAACAAGTCGGGTTTAATTTAATTTGGGTCAGGTCAATAACAAGTTGGGTTGATTTCGAGTCGGGTTTATAAAAAGTTGGGTTCAATTCGGATCGGGTTAGGAACAGGTCGGGTTGAATTCATGTTAGGTTAATAACAAGTCGGGTTAAATTCGGGTTTTGACGGGTTAAAACGGGTTTGGGTAAATTTCAGTTAAAGTCGGGTTCGGTGCAAGTTAATTAAATTGGTCGTTGTAAACCGGTAAATCAGTGAAAGTTGTAAACCGGTAAATTGGCCGTTTAAAGGCAACTTGGATGGTTCCACCTACCCAATTGGAATCCCGGTGGGTACTAAGGAAAATGGTAAACATTTCGACAATTTTTATATTCGAGCGAAAAAAGACAAAAAATTCCAAAATTGAAGGCTAATATCCATGTATTTTTAGAAATTTTGGAGGTTTCGGGACCCGGTGTCGAAAAGACTTGAGGTTTTAGGGAATACATCTCGGGGTAAAATAATGTCGTTTGGAACCAAATATGATAATTATTTGTTGTTATAAATGTTCGTGGTAGTCTTGATTTAATGAAATCGTTACAAGTTGTAAACCGGTAAATTGTTCGTTTAAAGGCAAATTGGAAGGTTCCACCCAACCAATTGGACTACCGGAGGGTATTAGCCTATTAGGGACCTTGGTAAAAATTTCGGAAATTTTTATTTTCGGACCAAAAAAAGTCAAAAAATTCCAAAATTGAAGGCTAATATCCACGTATTTTTAGAAATTTTGGAGGTTTCGGGACCCAGTGTTGAAAAGACTTGAGATTTTAGGGAATACATCTCGGGGTAAAATAATGTCGTTTGGAACCAAATATGATAATTATTTGTTGTTATAAATGTTCGTGGTAGTCTTGAGTTAATTAAATCGCTACAAGTTGTAAACCGGTAAATTGTCCATTTAAAGGCAAATTGGATGGTTCCACCCAACCAATTGGACTACCGGAGGGTATTAGGGACCTTGGTAAACATTTTGGCAATTTTTATTTTCGGGCGAAAAAAAAGTCAAAAAATTCCAAAATTGAAAGCTAATATCCACGTTTTTTCTAGAAATTTTGGAGGTTTCGGGAC